TGAATTTCCCCATGACCCTTCCCTTCCTTTCCCGCTTCTTCCTTTCCCCTCCACCCCTCCCCCTTTCCCCTGCCCCCTTCATTTCTTTCCTTCTTTCTTGCAAATGAAAGAAAGGGTTCCTTTTTCTTGGCCCATCATTGGGACAGACTCAGTGTTTTAGTACTAAAGCCCTAGTCTTGTTTGCTTTGGCATTCTGTGGTTCAACAGAGTAGTGAGTACTTTTTGGCCTGTGACCTTCAATTACATGGTTTGTCACAGTAGGAAGAGTTAATCAGCCGCCAGCTCTCCTGTTTGAACTTTATTAGTGATTTGCCCTGATTACTATCACAGCTGTGTTATGCTGGTGGTAACCTTGACCCCAGCCTTGCAAATAGCCAGGGAGAGTAACAGGTCATATGAGGCTAGTAGGAAAAGTAGTGATTTTATTTATTTTCCTATCTGTGTATATCCTTGGTGGAAGGTGGGCTGTTAAGACTTTTCTATATTTGTTTTCAAGACAGGAAGCGATTGTCTTTCTCATTCCTAAGAGCGAACACTTCTCATGAGAGGTACACTTAATGTTTTTTTTTTTTAACATGGATTAATGATGCCATTCTAGTCAGTTCTTCATTTAGCTGTTATAATAATCTTTTTTCACATGCTAATTCAATACAACTAAACTTTATTAAGTGTCTACTATGTTTAAGGCATATGGTTAAGGATAGCTAGGTGGTGCAGTGGGTAGAGTAGCAGGCCTGGAGTTCAAATCTGGCCTCAGACACTTACTAGCTGTGTGACTGTGGGCAAGTCACTTCACCCTGTTTGCCTCAGTTTCCTCATCTATGCAATGAACTGGAGAAGGAAATGACAAACTACTCCAGTATCTTTGCCACGAAAACCCCAAATGGGGTCAGGAAGAGTCAGATATAACTGAAAAAGAACTGAACAAAACAACATGTTTAAGGCATCTCAAAGCCCAGGAGATACGAAGTTGAAACAAGATTCAGTTCCTATCCCCAAGGAATTTAGCTACTAATAGAAGTACCAGGACCAAGCTGAGAACCAGACAGCTACTACGTGCCAGATACTGTACTAGGCCCCGGACAAAATGCTTGTAGAGGAAGAGATCATAGGAGGATCATATATGAAATTAGGGGATTCTACTAGATGATCTCAGAGTTCTCTTCTAGCTCTAAATTCTGTTAGGGGATTGGGGTAGGAAGATATCGTGGGAAGGTTTCCTGGAAGAAGTAGCATATGTGTAGGGCCTTAAATGAAGAGAATATTTTAAGAAGATATTCCAGGCACGAGGGATGGCTCACATCAATGAAAGTGACAGAATGGAGGCCAAATGAGATTGGGGACTAGCTGGGTTAGAATATCAGAAGTACAGAGATTTCACAAAGAGTGTGTGTTAGGGCCAGAAACGTCCACCCCAGCTGGATTTTGGAGGGCCAAGGAGGGCCAATTCTATTTTATCCTCCAAGCAATGGGGAGGATTTTTTTAGATAGTCCAGGTAAGAAGTGATGAGGATCTGACATAGAATGATAGAGGTGTGAAGAGAGGGGAGATGGGGCTCTACCCCGTGAAGCCCCACAGCCTTCCACATCTCTCCAGTCAGAAATAATCTCTCCCTCCCTGAATTTCTCAGGCTACTGTATTTGATCTCTCCTTTGTACTTATCCTGTTCTAACTTGTAGTATCCATTATATTTGTTATACCTCTTATCACTTACAAGGTTTGTAAACTCCTTCTCATGCCTGATACCTAGCATGTGCCTTATACATAGAATATGGGTAGGGATAGGACCTGTGTTTCATTAATATAGCGAACTTATGACTGAGTTAACTCCTTCTCTGCAACTTATAGTATTTTTTTTTGTGAGTGACTTGCCTAGGGTCACACAGCTAGTACGTGTCAAATGTCTAAGGCTGGATTTGAACTCAAGTCCCCTTGACTCCAGGGCTAGCACTCTATCCACTCTGCCACCTAGCTGCCCCTAATTTACAGTCATAAAGAGTAGCCTATAGCAAAGGTGTCAAAACTCCCAAATGTGGCCTGAACCAGATTAAAATGTAATTGAGAAATATTTTGACAAAATAAATTAAAAATACAACAGATAATATTAATTTGCAGTTTTCTACTGGCCCACAGGAATCTGTTTCTATTTTGAGTTTGATACTACTGAGTGATTTGCTCAGGGCTACATATGTGTCAGTGGAAAGACTTCCTCTTCCTGGTCCAGTCCAGGCCTTCTTTGCTCCATGACCTCAATGCCATGCTTTTATAGCATATACAATAAGGATAGAGATTAGATGTGTCATCCCATTGGTACAGGGAAACACCCTCTGCCGCTGCTGCAGGTCAGCACCTTCTTTTCAGTGTCTTAGACAGCTGTCTGAAGAACTGAGTAGTTAAGTGACTCAACCTGTTAAGTGACAGGTATGTCAGAGGCAGATCCTGGTCACCCAGGCTCCAAGGTCACCTTGGATAGGTTTGAGAACTACTGCGCAGGTAAAACTGACATGACAACTTTTTCCACATGGGTGGTAAGGGAAAGGGAAAGTTTGAATGTCTTTCCTCATAATCTTAAGCATGGATGAGTCAGGCACTGTGCTAATTGATGGTGATATAAAGAAAAGAAAAAGACAATCCCTGCTCTCAAGGTGTCTAACGGGGGAGATAGCATGCAAACATTTATGTCCAAACAAGCTACACATAGGATAAGTTGGAAATAATCAACAAAGAAAAGGCACTAGAATTAAGGATGGCTTCCTGTAGAAGGTGGGATTTTAGTTGGGACTTGAAGGAAGTTAGGGAAGATGCTACTGTACTCTCTAAACAGGGAAATTGGGAGCCAGGGGCAGGTTTAGAAAGGATGAAGAAACACACCGCACATATATCCAGGTTTGGGGAAAATATACTCACCTATTTTTTATCAGGTCATTCATTTGGTCAAGAACCATATTGCCTATAGTTTTACACCTAAACTGAGCCTAGAATTTTAGGCCTTCCATGGACTAGCTCCCCAAAACATATCTTTGACCTTGGGCAACTCACTTAACCTCTGTCTGCCTCAGTTTCCTCAACTATAAAATTGGAATAAAAATAACACTTGCCTCACAGAGTTGGAAACAAATGGAATAATCTTTGTAAAGCACTCAGCACTGTGTCTGGTACATAGTGCTTATTCCCTTCTCCCTCTTTTTGCTACAACCCAGCCCACAGTCCCTTTGCTCCAGCCAACTGCTCAGTACTTTATGATGCTCTTTGGCTACTCAGCACTAAGCCATATCTGTCCCTTCTTTTTTTGTTAAGTGTTCGGTCATTTTTGACTCTTTGTGACTCCATTTGGGGTTTTCTTGACTAGGATATTGGAGTGATTTGCCATTTCCTTCTCCGGCTCATTTTACAGATGAGGAAACTGAGGTAAACAGAGTTAAGTGACTTGCCCAAGGTCACACAGGTAGTAAGTATCTGAGGCCTGATTTGAACTCACAAAAGAAGAGTCTTCCTGACTCCAGGACCAGTACTCTATCCACAGTGCCACCTAGCTGCCTATAATCCCTTCCTTTATGATCTGACTCAATATTCCACATATCCTTTCTTGTCTGTTTCTGCCTAAAACTGATCACTCCTTTACATGGCTTGGCTTTTGTTCTCAGGTATAAAGTTTAGGGCTTTTTTTTGTAATGTACTTTTTGTTATTCTATGGTATAGTTTATGTATATGTTGTTTCCATGAATGAGTTATAAATATTTCAAGGGTAATAACTGTCTCCTCTAGTTATCTATCCCCATAGAGTCTACTATGGGGCTATAAAAACAAAAGGTTTTGACTTAATGCTTCAGCATTTAAGATCTATTAGTTTCCTCCAAAAACTCAATGAACCATTTAGCATCTGTGTTATGTTAGCTGGAATTCTCCAGTGCTTAATACAGGACCATACAGAGCGCATGGATGTCCAGGAAATAGCTATTAATAGATGTCATTCAACCACTATTTATTGAATGCCTATTAGGAGATGAGAATTATTTAAGGTGTCATGAAGGGTTAAACATAAAAGAACATAAAATGAGCCCTGCCTTCAGGGAACTTATACTATGATATTGATATTGAAGCAAAAGGAGACGAATTTTAACTAATTATTTGGCACTTTAAAATGTCTTGGAATAAATTCTTCTTATCCCACCCCAAGTATATTTGCTTTCTAGAGAAAGTGTCATAGTATTGTTTGATCTTCAAATGTTTCATTAATGGTGTAAAGATGTTATCTAAAGTCAAAACCATCACACTTCATAGTTAATGGACATTTTGTTAATAGGAAGTCTTTGAGGGTAGCCAGTGCTGACCACAACAATTTTGAGCACACACCAGGCACTGTGCTACGCTCCTTTGGTCTGTTGTGATCTTGTTTAGAGCTTAAAATTCTGCATAGGAAGCTGCTTTACAGGATGCTCACTTGTATCTAGATGTCTGTCAGAGAGTACTACAAGGAATAGCCATGCAAAATAATGGGATTTTTATGTCACATATGTGATCAACTGTTTTGAGTTTCTCCAAACAGGCATATACATAAATAAACATATATATGTGTATACACACATATGCATACATACACATACATATGAGTTTTGTAGGCTAGTTGCAGTGTTCTGCCTCATTTTGTGAAATGATGTATTTTTAAGCAAAATTTCTCTATCTACCATATGGCATTTCTAGCAGGCTTCAATAAAATTTGACCACAAGGCTCAGACCTTATTTCGGATTCATTAAACCCAACTGCCTTTAATCTTGAAGCCAGTTATAGTGTGACAAGACCCATAGTTTTAACGTAGCTCATGGAATGTTATTACGTAGTATCAAATTTCCAAATTCTTTATTTCTTTCTTTTTTTTCTTTATGACTGCCATATTCAGAGAAAATGTTGTATTAACTAGATAGAATGTCTTTAAGTTCTGATCTCTGGTGTTTTTTTTCCCCCTTTCTGTTTCCTTTTTATTCCCCCTTTCTCTTTCAGTCCATGGCTATGAGTGAACCACAATGCTACTACAATGAATCCATTGCCTTCTTTTACAACCGGAGTGGGAAGTACCTCGCCACAGAATGGAATACTGTCAGCAAGCTTGTGATGGGACTTGGAATCACTGTCTGTATCTTCATCATGCTGGCCAACCTGCTGGTCATGGTGGCGATTTACGTCAACCGCCGCTTCCACTTTCCTATTTATTACTTAATGGCTAACTTGGCTGCTGCAGACTTCTTTGCTGGATTGGCATACTTTTATCTAATGTTCAACACAGGGCCCAATACACGAAGACTGACCGTAAGCACCTGGCTTCTTCGCCAGGGTCTCATTGACACTAGCCTGACGGCCTCTGTAGCAAACTTGCTGGCTATAGCAATTGAGAGACACATTACAGTTTTTCGCATGCAGCTGCATACCCGGATGAGCAACCGGCGGGTGGTGGTTGTTATTGTGGTCATCTGGACCATGGCCATTGTAATGGGTGCTATACCCAGTGTGGGCTGGAACTGTATCTGTGACATCACTAACTGTTCCAACATGGCACCCCTCTACAGTGACTCTTACTTAGTCTTCTGGGCTATTTTCAACCTGGTTACTTTTGTAGTAATGGTGGTCCTGTACGCCCATATCTTTGGCTATGTCCGACAAAGGACTATGAGAATGTCTAGACATAGTTCTGGACCAAGGAGGAATCGGGACACTATGATGAGTCTCCTGAAGACTGTGGTCATTGTGCTTGGTAAGTGCTATTTTGGTTGAAAATTTCTTTCCAAATTCCTTATGCTTTAACAATTAGTAGTAGAGATGAACTGGAATATGTTGGTCCAGAAAAGTATGTGCATGTTAAGCAGGGAAAGAAAAAACAAACTGGCCTCAACACTGAATCTTTGGGTGTTAGGTCTGCTAGTGTGCGTGTCTGTTTGGAGGGGGGGTTCCCCTAATGGTATTATAATGATGATAAGGGGGAAATGGCCATTCTTGGAAGACTTTAGCTAAATTGAAATTGTGAAACTTGGTCTTACTTAAATTTTTTTAACTTCAAAAGGTTTTACATTTGGTTATGCCATAGGCCATGTGTGTGTATTTTTAATTCGGTTATCAGATATAAAGCATTCTCTTATATTTATATGATTTTTAATACATATTTCCATTAGTAGTTATTTTCACCAATATTTCTGAGTAAGAGTTCACTTTTTGTAATTTTTACTACCTCAGGTAAGTCCTGATAAATAATGCTTTTGTCGAGATTTTCCACACAGAGTAAGAGATTCTCTGCAACAAACAACTCTAACAGCCCTCTTAACTAAAGATATTTAGTCTTCTGAATTGTTTTTGCTCTGATTACTTCTGTAGTAATGGTGACCCTATATACCCATAAATTGAGTCATGGCTGACAGAGCAATGTCTTTGTCCTTCTCTACTTAAGCAAATGAAAATATTTCAAATTTTGAATAGAAAGGCTCATATTCTCATGTAAAGTTGTATTTAAATGAATACAAATTTATCCTAAATTTTAAAAGGCAAGAAAATCATGTGGAAGGGACTTCCTCATAAGACTTCTCTCATCAATACAAATTGTATGGTCAAAGGACTAGTTTATATGATTTCAATTCACCTACAGAATATTCCTAATAAGATGGGTATCTAATTATAGTTTTCTTTTCACTAAGAAAATCTATTAGAGTGATTGAATATTTGCCATAGAATGGAAACAAGTGTAAGTCAAGGCTACATTGGACCAAATTCACAAAGGAAAAGAGAAAATTTATGAAACACTAAAATATCCTAATTATGAGGTGGTTAAACTTCTAAGGCCATCCTATAGCACGGATCTCGAAGACAGGACTATGGAAGTGCTATATTGTGTTCTTCATTTTATCTACTTTATGAAGCAAGTTTTGATAGACTATTAACATCACTTCAGTGTTATATTAAAGAGGCAATGTGACATACTAAATGGAGAGTTGCTTAGGTTTGGGTTTGAGTCCTGCCTTTGACATGTACTAGCTTTGTTACTCTGGGGCCCAGGGGTGGGGAACCACATGTGGCCCTCTAGGTCCTTGAGTGTGGCCTTTTGACCTAGTCCAAGTTTCACAGAACAGATCCTTTTATTAAGCGAATTTGTTCTGTTAAGCTTGGATTCAGTCAAAGGGCCACACTTGAGGACCTAGAGGACCACATGTGGTTCCCTACCCCTGTGCCTGGACAAAACCCTTGGTGCTCCCAGGCAGCTCTCTAAAATAGTTGTAGAGGAGATGCCAATCTACATTAGTAAAGGAATTCTTTCATTTGAGCTCCCTGTACTGATGGAAATCTAGTTGTTTCTTTTTTTTTTTAAAGCATAATGTTGAATCTTGCCAGATAAGCATTACAGGTAATTTTTTTTTGTAAAGTTCAATCATTATGTGACTATCTAATATTCAGTTATACTTACTTTTTCCTGTCAGTGCACTCTTGAAATAAAAAGAAGAAAAAAAAACCCACACAAAGCAGAGTTTAGCATTCTTAAGCATTAAGAATGTATGGCACTGGGTGCAGATCTCAGAATTAGACATCCAGTAGTGCTTACCTGGCAAGCTCAGAGTCTAAATTCTGTGATCATAAAAAGGTGATTTGGTGAACTCTAGACCAGCACTTCTTAAACTGTGGGTCACATCCCAGGTGGGGTTGCAAAAAATCTGGCAACAGTGAAAGGTTTCTGAACGTACAATGACCAAAAGTTAATTCAAAATCAAACACATAATGAATCTGAGGTGTTTCTGGCAGTGTTTGTCCGTGTTGCATCACAACTTCACTGCAGCCTTGGTTCTGAACACAAAGCATGTGACACACTTTGCACTGCATGTGCCCTTAGGCAACGCTGCCAAAATGTGAAAAGAAGTCAAAGTGGAAAAAGTTTAAGAAGCCCTCCTCTAGACTATCATCACTGACGTCAAAGAATACATGTTCATTTGAAATCTACAGTCTTTCATTTTATCACATGAATGTAGGATTTAGAACTAGCTGTGAACTGAATAGAGGTAATCTGTGCTACCCTATCCTGTCTTTTTATAGCTGAGACAATAAGAGTCCATGGAAGTCACATAACTTGTCTAATGCCACAAGAGAAGATCATGAACTGAACTCTCAAGTTAAATCTAAGGGTGTAACTCGTTCTCTTTAGTTGTGCAGGAAGTTTGGTAAAATTCATTCAAATTCTTCTTAAAGTTTTCAGGGAACAGACAGATACCTCAAAATGTTGCATGGTTGAGTTTAAACCTTGCTTCACTTATTATAAGGGAAATTTTTGGACCTTGTGTCCATTCTGTGGAAAGTTTGAATGCTTGACTGAGGTCTGAGTGTTGTACTTTTTTTTTTTTGTCAGTAAGCCAAATTCTTATCTGTAATCATTAATATGAAGCTTTAGAGATAACACAACACTTATCTGTATATGTGTATAATGCTGTAGAGGCAATCTTCCAGGTTTCTCCTTCAGATTTGCAAGAGAAAGAGAAGTAGAAATACTTTTACTAAGAGAGGTGCCTCCTTGATCTTCTCCTTCAGTTCCATATTCAAAGACTTAGTAGAAATAAGAGGATTCCTTTAGTCCAGTATTTAACTGAAATTTAACTGGTGAAAAAAACCAAACCTTTCAAGTGCCACCCTAGGTTGTGACTGCCTTAAGGATTTCAAAGGCCAACAATCTCCTGATAGAGAGACAATGGATAGGGAAAGAGGTTGTAGTTTTTTTTTGTTTGTTTGTTTGTTTGTTTTTGGCAAGGCAATTGGAGTTAAAGTGACTTGCCCAGGGTCACATAGCTAGTAAATGTCAAGTGTCTGGTCTGAGAACAGATTTGAACTCAGGTTCTCTTGACTTCAGGGCCAGTGCTCTATCCACTGTACCACCTTGCTGCCCCAAGAGGTTGTAGTTTTGATCTGACATTACGACACTTGTCATGGAAGCACAGAAAAACCCCAGCGGCTTGTGGATTGCTGAGACAATGACCTTTGGAAAACAGCTTTAGGTTATTTTCTTTAATCCTAAGTAAACTTAATTTTAGGCATGTTTAGCATAAGATCTAGGAATTAAAAGCTGAATTCTTAAAAGTTGCTTTGAAAGTGAATGTGTATTATCAGACCTAGAAACGCTGGCTACTTATGATTGGAATTTTATAGGGAAACTGGTGTCAGCTGTGGTTGGCTATGAAGCTGAAATTCAGTTATGGTTCCAAACATTACTGTTCACGTTGAAAGGACTTACTCCCCCATTCATGTTGGCTCATGTTGATCTCTGCATATTCTATTGTCTCCTTAAATGAGAAGAATGTTTTAGGAAAACATATACATAGTCATTTTTTTTCTCTAGTGGTAATAAGCATGGTTCTTATTTCATCTGTCAATTGTTTGTTGCTGAGCAAACATATTATAAGGGTAGAAGGGAAAACATTATACATCATATTCATCAACTTGTGGGGTTCATTTCTGGGGTTAACTGATGGGGCTTATTTCTTTAACCAATAGTAGATTAAATGCCCTGGCATCTCCAGACCAGTATATTAAGGAAAGTAGTGATGGAAACTCTACAAACTTCCATGATACACTAGTCCACTTTGAAAAATGTCACTCAAGAAATAGAGAAATCTGACAAAACAGATGGTTTCTTCAATAAGGAGGCCAATGAGCTTGACTTTGATTTCTGCCATGAGTTCATGGTCACAAGGTAGCAATTTACTTTTTAAGTACATTACTTTTTAAATGACTTTTTTAATACTTTGATTAAACCAATCAGGGAATTATCAGTAATGTAGTTTATCCAGATTTCAACAGTGCATTTGTCAGTTTTTTCATATCTTTATGGACTAGATGGAGAAATGTGACCTAGAAAGTAGTTTAATGGCATGGCTTTTGAATTGTTTAAATGACTGGACCCAATGTGTGATATGTGCTTTAATGTCAACCTGGAGGAGTATCTCTACTGGGTGGCTCTAAGAGCTGTCTTTGGCCCCACTCTTTGCAACATTTTTATCAAGGCCTTAGATGATGGTATAGGTAGCATGCTTATCAAATTTGTAGATGTTACATAGTTAGATGGGATAAGATAGCTAATGTTGCATGGCAAAATAAAGATTTAAAATGGCCTTGATAGAATAGACTGGCGTTTCAATCTATTCAGATAAAAATTGAATGAGGATAAATAAAAGTTTTAAGTTGGGCTAAATATTAACTAACTAAATACATTAGAGAATGAGAGGCTTGGTTAGCCCAAGGTTCATGGTAAAAAAAAAAAAAAAAGACCTGGGGTTTTACTAGAATGATTCAATAGCATGACAAGAAAAAAAGGCTAACCAAAAACAAATAAATGAACAAAACTAAAGCGGTCCTGAACTGAATCAGTGGAGGCTCTTTAGTTAGGCATGTACAGCAGGGGCTTTTAACTCTGTTTGTGTCATGGATTCCTTTGGCAATCTGGTAAAGCCTATGGACCCCACCTTATAGTAATGTTTTAAAATCAATTAAATGCATAGGGTTATCAAGGAAACCAATTTTGTTGAAATCCAGTTATGAAAATACTTATTTTTTAAAGTTCGAAGATCCCATGGTTAAGAACCCCTGATCTATAGAATTAGGTCAGTTTCTAGATATTGACAAACAAGAACACAGCAGAAGATGGTGATGAGGAGCATGAAAGGTCTGTAAACCACTGGTTGAAACATCAGGAGTGTATTTAGTTTGGAGAAAAGAAGACTTCAAGGGATACAT